TGTTCGTATGCCCTAAACTTGAGTACTGTATACAAGCAGCTAACCCCTGCCTAAAAAAAGACAGTGAACTCTTGGAAAGGGTTTAGAGAACAGCAACTAGGCTGATTCCCGGAATAGCGAAGCTCCCGTATGGTTCTAGACTGACCAAGCTAAACCTATTCCCGCTGTCATATAGAAGAATCAGAGGAGACTTGATTATAGTTTTCAAATTGCTAAATGACAAATTTGCACCTGATATGCCCTCATTTTTCTTGTCTTCCAAAACAGAAAATCTACGAGGACACTCCAAAAACGTTCACAAGCCCAGAACGAATTACTTGTCAGCTGACTACCGACTTTCCCATCGAATAATCAACGAGTGGAATTCATTACCTCAGCACGTGGTTGAGGCTTCATCCGTCGACTCCTTCAAAAGAAAGTTGGATCAGCTGAGAGACCATCATTGCCAGGACTAACACAGGCCATCAAACCTCCTGTCCTTTCCAAACTGAAACTGAAACTAAACAATAGAGCCAAATTGTACACTACAAAGCAAAGGAAGCTAAATTAACGCTTTTCACATTGATTTCGTGAATTTACTGCGGAAAAACGCGACTCAAATACAGGAAAACCTGATATTCATACAACCTAACGGACACCCAACAGAGCCTCAGCTACTCAAATATGGAATGACCGCCTCTCGTCAGACCGTTCAAGGTCGTTTATTCGAAACAGCGGGCGGCTTTTGTTTCAGTTTCAGTTTCAGTTTGGAAAGGACAGGAGGTTTGATGGCCTGTGTTAGTCCTGGCAATGATGGTCTCTCAGCTGATCCAACTTTCTTTTGAAGGAGTCGACGGATGCAGCCTCAACCACGTGCTGAGGTAATGAATTCCACTCGTTGATTATTCGATGGGAAAGTCGGTAGTCAGCTGACAAGTAATTCGTTCTGGGCTTGTGAACGTTTTTGGAGTGTCCTCGTAGATTTTCTGTTTTGGAAGACAAGAAAAATGAGGGCATATCAGGTGCAAATTTGTCATTTAGCAATTTGAAAACTATAATCAAGTCACCTCTGATTCTTCTATATGACAGCGGGAATAGGTTTAGCTTGGTCAGTCTAGAACCATACGGGAGCTTCGCTATTCCGGGAATCAGCCTAGTTGCTGTTCTCTAAACCCTTTCCAAGAGTTCACTGTCTTTTTTTAGGCATGGGTTAGCTGCTTGTATACAGTACTCAAGTTTAGGGCATACGAACACTGTATACAAAGTCAAAAACGTTTTAGCGTCAAGATGCCTAAAAGCCCTGCGTATGGACCATAAAGTCCTAAAACCTTTGGTGGCTATTGCACGGCAGTGTGCAGTAGTCTTTAAGTCTTGACTGACGATGACGCCTAAGTCGTTGTGTGCCTGAACAATAGGTAACTCAGTGTTATTCATCGTGTATGTATCTGTACCCTGATGGCCAATATGCATCACAATACACTTGGAAGTGTTTATCGGCAATTGCCAGGTTCGGGACCATTCACATAATCTCTCCAGGTCATTTTGAAGTTCTAAGCTATCGCCCTTGCTTTGTATCGCTCTCCATATCTTGACATCATCAGCATAGAGTAAGACCGATGACGATAGTAGACGAGGGAGATCATTTACGTACATGAGGAATAACACTGGCCCCAAAAATGTACCCTGGGGGACTCCACTAAGCACAGTTTCCCAGCTAGACAACTTGGAGTTCACACTTTCTCTTTGTTGACGCTCAACTAGGAAGTCTTTGATCCACATCAATAGATTGCCTCCAATCCCGACATTCCTTAGCTTATATAACAGCCGGTTATGCGGAACTTTGTCGAAAGCTTTGCTGAAATCGATGTAAGCTACGTCTATAGGTAATTTTTGGTCCTTAAGAGCGCACCAGCTTTCACGAGCGACTAATAAGTTTGTGAGACAAGAGTAACCTGTTCTAAAACCATGCTGCTTTTCGGAGAGGATCCGGTTTTCATCGAGATACTTTAACAGTTCCTTCCGAATAATCTTTTCTAAGATTTTAACAACCACACTAGTTAGGCTAATTGGTCGGTAATTCTCAGGCTTATGTTTTGTACCTGTTTTGAAGACTGGACTTACTATGGCGTTCTTCCAGTCTTTTGGTAGACGACCCTGGGTTACGGATAGATTAAAACATACACTTAAAGGGTTCGCAACAAAGTTAGCTAATTCCTTTAGTAACCTAGGATGCAGTTCATCGGGTCCAGTGGATTTACCTATGTCAAGCTTAACTAGCAGACCAAAAACATCGAGTTCTTCAATGGTTACGCTGTCCAGTGCTTGTGTGGGTGGATTTTCATGGACTGGTGAGAAGGGTGTTTCTATGGTGTATACATCGCTAAAGTATTTAGAGAATACTTGAGCTTTGCCAAAGTCATCCTCCACTAGTGATGTGGCAGTACTGTCTCCCCATAATGAAGGAACATTCCTTCTTCTTTTTGTCCTTTGGTTTATATAGGAATACAAGCGTTTAGGGCATTCTATGGATTCCCTTACGATTTTCTCTTCGTACAGCTTTCTGGCCTTACGGAGGGTCGAGGCACAGGTATTTCGAGCCTTTTGATACTGAGATTTCGCCTCGTCAGTCCCCAGTAACCTAAATCTGTCCCACATTTTCCTTCTTTTACGGAGAAGGATGCGAACCTCCCTACTGAACCACGGTGGGGAGTTTCTCGGTCTCTTAGGTGTAGTCCAAGGGATGTGGGGGGCGGTAACTTTTAAGTATAAATTCCGGAATACGTCCCAAGCCGTTTCGATTGATGACTCTGGATCTAATTTCCAATCTACTAATGATGCTGATTTCATGATGTCTGCTATGTTTGCTTTCCAGACGTTAGGTCTGGATTGAGCTGAAGCGTACTCGTGATCGACAGTTATGTGGAAGTCAAAGCTTAAAACTGCATGATCACTTTTACCTAGGGGTGGCATGTAATCCAGGTTTGCAACATCATCCTCATAATGAGTCAATATAAGATCTAGTAAGGATGATGCAGAACCCGGGTCGTACCTAGTTGCTTCCTTCAAGCGTTGCACTAGAGCACAAGTGATTATCGCATCAACTAGTTCCTGTTCGAAGGAGTTTGCTGACGATTCAGTCCGAAGATTTCCCCAGTCCACCATGGGTGCATTGAAGTCCCCTAAGATTAGACATCGATCACTTCGTGATAAAGTGTTGAGACTGCTTAGCAGGACCTCGTTTGCCTCACAGCTTGGACTGCGATAGATCAAACTAAGTAGTAACTCTTGTCCCCTGCATTTCAGGCGGCAGCAAACTAATTCATACGTCCCACTCTCATGGGATACACTGTCGATAATGGTGAATGGAATAGCATTCCTAATGAATAGAGCTACTCCCCCTCCTTTACGCGTTTGTATTCTATCGGCCCTTACCAATGTAAAACCCTCGAAATCAAGTTCCCTACTATCTATAGACGGCGTCAGCCATGTTTCTGTGACTGCGATTATGTCTGGCCCAGTTGAGTCAATCTGTACACCTAGTTCCGGTAGCTTATTTAGTAAGCTCCGGGCGTTGGTATAACAGATCCGAAGCCTATTTAGGTGGCCTCGTGCTTCACCCAGAGTGGCTTCGGCATCATCCTCTGTCGAATCCTCACAACCCGAAAATTTACAATTTTCAGATCTTTTTCGCCAGCGTCTAATCTGAGCTGTAGTTCCTTTTCGGCTTCCCGTCTTTTAACACGGTCCGCCAACGGTAAGTCCTTACGGAGAAAAACTCCTGAACCCTTTAATTTGTGTCCATTTTCTAAGATTAAGTCGCGTTCGTTTGAGGATTTGAAAACGACTTTGAGTAGTCTAGACTGATTTGGTTTCAGATGCGCTAGATTTCCTAATCTATACACCTTTAGCAAGGTGACTCCGGGGATGTTTTTGGGCATAACTTGGTTGAGTAGTTGTTTTATCAACACAATGTCATGCTCAAAACGAGCTTTCGGTTCTAAGTTGTCACTCTCCTTGACTCTATGGAGAATGACTGATCTGTCGCTGTGATCAGACCTCGGCTTGTCGACCCTTTTGGTGGGGGTATGACTTCCTTTTACGTCATTTCGGCGTTTTTTTCTTACGACCCGTACCCAATCGCCAACGTTCTTTGGAGTGGTAACCACATTCGCGTCAGGCGTACTGTGGGATTCCGGAAGAGTCAGGACGACTTGGGAGATCGGGTCATCTTTCGCGCTGGAAACCGATCGAGCCTTGCGGTTTCGGCTTCCTGAAGTTCTCTTCTGGGTACCATTTTTGATACGAGGGACAGAAGAGACTTTTTTGCGCGAGTTTCTGGTTGTAACAGTCCTCTTTGGAGGATGTTCTTCCTCCTTAGTAGGGTGTGGGTCGGCAGTTTTTGGACTCACTTGGGCCTGCCTTGTGTCAATCTGCGTGTCGACAGATTGAGTTCTGACTGATGTATCCCGACCGCGCTTGCCGAGACACTTTTTTGCGGCATTTACTATTGAAATGGCCTCGGTTAGCAGGCTATTTGCATCCAAACAGCACTGTTGACATAGCCATACACACCCATTTTTACTAAACCGCTTGAAAGCTGCAGGTGTTAGATTCGTGCAAACATCGTGGTACCAACCTTTGCACTCATCGCACTGCATACCGCTATCAACAGGATATCGACATCCTGGGCGGTGGCAAATGCTTTTGTTGCATCTTCCAGTCATTTTAGGATGCGAAAGTGAGTGTTGACTATAAGTAGAAAAAAAAACTATAAACAGTTAGGACCAAAGTACTAACAGACACAATGGAAAAAAAGGTACTCTAGAGTACCGACGATAAAACTATTTAGGATACCAAAGATGATACTCTAATAGAATACTTTAACTGAAAGAAATTCAATCAAAGTATAAAAACAGTAGTCTTGATGCGTTAATAACGGTCAGAACAATAGAATTTACTCGACGAGGAAAAATACCACTGTTCTTTTTAAATAGCGCGCAATACCCAATTAGCTTGCTGACTTTATTTTCCCGTGCTTAACGCGTCCGAAACTTGACGCTACCGACCCCTGTTGCTGATGGTTAGTCGTAAGCTTAAATTATATCTCATTGTTGTCGATTACTTTCTGACTAGGTGTGGTTGCATTCTGTTTACCTACTAAGTCCTCCACTTTTTAACCTGGTCTTTCGTCCCACAAACCTACCAAAGTCTGGCCGTCACAACACAGACTGTGTTTTTGTTTCATACATCTTGATGGTTTTCTCGATCTTAGTTACTGAGATTGCAGCGAGACTATAATGTACATTATAGTTTCGCTGCAATCTTGATTGTCCATACGTATGGACATATCAATCAGATATACGATAACAGGTCTCCAATTTGGCTAAATAAAGTTTTGGTATGAAAGCTGATGTCAGTTCGTGATGAAAACCTTAAAACTAATCCTTAACCCTATATGGTCCTAAATATTAGGTGAACATTCGCAGTCACTTAAGCCTCGCTCAAACGTCGTCCACAAATTGTAGTCTCACTGAGAATGCTTCAATATAAGGCTTGAAAACCAGAAAAGATTTTACTGACAGCCTCAAAGAACTAAAACAACATAAGACCAGGCACATATATGGATTAGTTCAAGTTGCTACACATTAGCACAAGATTATCACCAAATTCATAGGATTATTTATTGCAATGTTAGTAATACATAAAAGAGAGATCGCATTTAAGGATATACTACAAGAGGAAAGAATTAGTTCATAGAAGGAAAGGTGTAAAGTAATTTTAACCTCATGGCTTAGGGGAAGACAAAAGTGTAATATGGCAGTAAACTGCCGGATCCCCAGTACTTCTCTTTCTCCTTCCCGTTTTCTGGTCAAATTAATTGAAGGGGAAGTTTATGATAAATTTAGGGCCAGTTGCGTCACTGTACTGATACAAAGCCTAATAAAAGCAGTCGATAAAATGTCCTCAGGTTCCTATTGTTTACTGCACCCATAGTTTCACTCTACTCCATAGACATAGGCCATTTGTCAATGATAGATATAATTCGAAAGAAACATGCCCAGCGTTTTGTACTTGTCATTCACTCATGTAGACGCCTTCCAACTATCTTAATAAGTGCATTGCACGAACACATTCATTCACTTAATTTCCACAAGGTTGTCCCAATCTCCCTATTTTGAGGGGAAATCTTGTTTGTTTTGGGGAAACCACTATAGAAAACTTTGGGAAAATGGCACAGAACCCCCAAAATTTCCCCAGGTCTGAGGAAAATCCCCAAATATTCGAGGAAATTTTGAGTTTTCGCCAGAATCTTATAACATGGGGTTTTCCCCAAAGTTTTGGGAAAACTACCACATTTTTTTAAGACTTTAGGGAAAACCCCAAAATAGGGAGATTGTATATGTTCACATTCAGGATCGAAGGTTGACGTAACTTACTAGTCAAAAGAGAAAATCGTCATACTTTTGTCAAGTTACAGACTAATGTTTGCAGTTTGACAAGCTTAATCTCGAAAACAAACTGCTCCGTCAATAATCTGTGTTTTCATGTTTTTAGATCTTTCCAAATAAATTTTATCGTTTGATGTAAAGTATGGACAAGTCAGTTGAACTTTCTGAAGTTCTCGTTTATAACCCTAAAAATGTACCTCGTGGTGCCAAACAGTTAAACCCTTATGAAGCACTTGCTTTGCGTCTTCGAATAATCAATTCATGGAACAAACCTCTGGAAGTGTTACCTCTTAACTTCGGAAAAGAAGCAGTAACAATGGCTACCTTTTTCTCAAGTTTACTTGTAACCTATCGCTCAAGATCGTTTTTCAATCTGTTTACTAGATTTGGACTTGCTTTGTCTTTTGTTCCATGCGTACTTCTTCCTACTGGCGTAGCACATCACTGTTTTACCCGTTTCGTTTTTAATCCGATTCTTGTTGGACCCTCTAATTCAATGTTGTATCCTGATTGCAGTATTTGCTTACAAATACGTGAAGCTCTAATAATGGTAAGTTATCCTGTTCACAACTGTAACATATTTCTCCATTCTTACTGAGCTACATATTTCGTGTATATATATTTCTTGCACGTTTAGTTTGTTCTGCTTCTTAAAACAAGTGCTGCCAATAGCTTAGTGTCCATGTGATTCATAGTTGCGAATATGTACCATCATGTTTCAACTCCACCTTTAGCTCTTCTAGAGTTACTGCCAGTCCCAAGCCCGGGTAAAGAAGAAGTGTTGGAATAGGGTCGGCAACCCCATCCCATAGAAAAAAATTTTGCTAAAAAAACGCCAACCAGATTGAACAAATCAAACCATTTTAACTCTGCCCACCGAATTCAAGTAGGAATTATGAAAGCCGACATTTTTCGAAAGTCACGAGACCGATGCCTCTTCTAACAACCGGAGCAACATGGAATGTCTAGACAATGTGTGAGACCGGAAAGACCAGTCAAATGGCAACGGAAATGAGGAGATACAAATTGCTAGTACTCGGAATCAGCGAGACCCATTGGACCCAAGCTGGACAGAAAAGGCTAGATACGGGAGAGATGATGCTATACTCCATTCATGAAAACGAAAATGCTCAACACAGTCAAAGAGTTGCTGTCCAAAGAAGCACGAAATACACTTATAGGATGAGAATCTCGCGGATCCAGGATCATCATAAGCATCTCAAATCAAAGAAGGAGGGAATCACAATGAATGTTATCCAATGTTATGCACCCACCAATGATAGCAACGGTGACAATAAAAATCAGGTTTACGAGAGGTTGCAATCAACTCAACCGAATCTAAATGTGTCAGGTCCTAGTTGTTTTTTACTGTCTAAAAATCGATATGTTTCACAGACAGTAATATTTAATGCCTTGGTTTAGTAAAGTATTTCATAGGTTGAAAAGTAATGACTCTTAAAAGCCGTCACTTTCGATTAATCCTTTTAAAATATGGCAGTGACATGCAAACTCACAAAGAAATACATCACCATTGACAAACATAAATTTACTACAGGTGCAATTGGTGTATATAACTAAATTACCTATCTACTAAATTAACATTAATCTTCCTTTTTTACTAAATGCGGATTTTGATTTGTTATGATTACGTTTCGACTTTTGAATTGAATGGAATACTGATTAGTAAGTGATAATCACTGGTACAATGTGATCATTTATATTTTTTGGTGAGTTGGTAGCTAACCTTAAACCTAGCTCGGTTTGATATTCGGTTGCAACGGATGCTAAAGCCACTTTGCTTACATCAATCACTTTGGGAAAATGAATTTGTTGGTCACTGAAACGTAGGATAAGATCAGTGCAAACCATGGCATGATCAGAGTCCAGGGACGCAATAAATTTTTCTGTTGTTCAATCCACTTTAGTGTGTGGTCGCTGAAGAATGTCACTTTGAATGACAAGTGTAGTTTCCGTAAAGCAGTATCAGTAATAATATCCGGTGGTGACATTTAAACTTTTGACCAGTCAGAGACTTGAGTTCATTTGGACAAGGCAAGTTTCGCACCATAGACGAGCTGCTGAGCGAGTTAGAAAATAAAAACACAATGGAAATAAAACGGAGTAGGAGAGGGAAGTGAAGTAAAGCGAATTAGGTGGGTAATGAATACCTTCTGAGTAGGTGGAGAAGCAAATCAAGTTAGTCGATCTATTTATAATTATTCGTTGCCATATTTGGGAGGTCCCCAGTATCCACTATCCTGCTTTAAGCACTGTTTATCCTCTCACTTCTCTAAACAGTACCTATGCAGCGAGTTGACAGTAAGTAGAACTTCTCCATCTGTGGTCATGTCAGCATTTCGTGAGTGAGATTGGAATTCTTCCTAACTCGACTGTACTAGGGCGATTAGAGGCAAGGTTTGTTATACGTCACTTGGATGTCTTACACCCTAACATACTTCTACACCTGCCGAATAAGTTGTCAAATTTGGGTTGAAATTTCTCGTTTCATCTATTAACTTAAACATTTGAAAACGGTTTGTTAGGCCACGGACTAATCAGTCTACTCTAAACCACCAACTGTTTTTTTCTTTATTTTATAACAAGCATTATAATTGTTTTGTAATGTTCGAACTGTTATTTAAACGTTATTTTCCAGTGAATATTTAAACCAACTTCATCAGACTAAAACGCGTTTGTACGACCCAAAGTTTCATGTAAGACTCCCAACTTTTGGTTCACACTTTGTTAGTCTCTCACTGTGCTGACGTAAAGTGTAACAACTCCAACCGATGTACACTCACTTTGCGTTCTAGGTCAATTATGGCTGGCTGACATAAAACAGAAATGTCTGGGATCTATTCTCTTGGGAAATTGAAATAATTGGAACAAAATGTATAGTCTACTCAAAGCCATTTTTCTTGTAATGAGTGGCAACACAAAGCAATAATAATTATAAATAATAAGTTACTATAAGTATAGGGATAACGAATGGTAACTTTGTGATCTATTTATGAACTAATATTATGCATATATTTTTTATCGTGTAATCGCTAAATAACTAAAGTATTCATATTCGTGCCCCCCTTATTATAAGCTTTATTTTGATCCATAGACTATTATTATGCGACTTGCCATTCATGAATTATACTCAGTCTACTAATTACTGTTCCCCTATTCACAGCCACATTTGGCTAAATCTTGTACATATGTTATTGTTTATTTTACGGTACGATGTGGTCAGCTTGATTGGTCAGTCAGTCAGTCACAACGTCGAACTTCGTACGTACGTACATCAGTTCTAGTTGCCATACCACATTAGCACAGAGATGCAGTTGTCGATTCAAATCCCATAGTGGTAGAAGTAGTAGGAGTATAATCAGAAATCCAAAAGATTAGGGTTTGAAGAAATTATTGAAGGAGTATAGTACAGTGAAATAAATTTGGAAAGAGAAAAAGATAAAGACATAAGGAATTCAGAAGATTAGAATTTGGTAGAACACAAAGAGTGGATGCACCTTCGCCATTGCAAACGATTTTGAGCCATGTCATTCAAGGTCTCTAACCATCGGTTGCTATCATCTCGCGAATCACAACCAAGCAGTCTACACCTACCAACATGGCTCAGTCCACTTGTCTTCATGGATTTATGCCATGTTTTGGTCTGGCCGCCTCTAGCTTTCTTCCAACCTACTCCTACACCATAAAACATTGCTCGTCGGGGCAGTCGGTGGTCGGGCATACGTAGCACATGTTCCAGCCATCTCAACTGATGAAGTTTCACTACTTCACCAATCGATTTGCCATCTTTACCTAGTACCCGTTTCCTAACAACTGCATTACTTACCCAGTGGTCCCAGGATATACGAGCAATGCTTCGAAGACACCTATGATCGAACACTAGTAGCCTACGAATATCCTCTACTCTTACCACCCATTTTTCACTGCCATAAAGTAGGACGGAGCGAACTGCTGCACAATAAACCCGTCCTTTGGTTGGTAGACGGATATCTCGCCTACGCCATAAATGGCGCAAGTTGGTGAAAGCTAGACGAGCCTTCTGTATCCGTGCTGAGATTTCGTCACATACTAGACCACAAGGGCTGATGAGACTCCCAAGATAAGTGAAGTGGTCTACACGCTCAACTACTTCACTCCCTATCATTAGTTCAGGTGTCGATACAACCCAATCCTGAAGTAACATTTTGCACTTCGAGGGAGAGAATCGCATCCCGAACATGCCTGCATAGTTGCTTATAGTGGTCAAAAGACTCTGCATGTTGTCAGCATCTTCACCGAGTAAAACTATGTCGTCGGCGTATTCTAAGTCAACAAGTGAATCTCCCGGTAGAAGTTCAACTCCTGGAGGTTTAGCTGATGAAAGTGCTATCTCTAAAAGTATGTCAATGTCAAAGTTAAACAAGAATAGGGAGAGTGGACAGCCCTGACGAACGCCACTTGTGGTAATCAGTTCTGATGACAGTTCGCCATAGGCTCTAACTCGACCAGTTGTGTTCGAATAGAGAGCCTTTATGAGGTTAATGTACTGCTTTGGTACTCCTTTCAGTGACAAACACTGCCATAGAACCTCACGATCAACGGAGTCAAATGCCGCCTTAAGGTCAAGAAATACTACTATTGTGGGACGTCTGAATTTGTGTCTATGTTCTAGGACCTGACGTAGTGTGAATATCTGGTCTATGCAACCACGTCCAGGTCGAAAACCAGCCTGGTTTTCTCTAGTCTGCTCTTCACGAGCTTTGGTTAGGCGACCTAGTATTATTGAAGCTAATATTTTAGACACTATATTAGTCAAACTGATCCCTCTGTGATTGTCACAGGAGGACTTTTGTCCTTTCTTATAGACTGACACAATCAGTGATTGGGACCAGTCAGATGGAATTACGTCCAGTTCCCAGATTCTACCTAAGACATCAGTCAATCTCACTGCTAGTACTGGACCACCATCCTTAAAAATTTCAGGAGACAACCTGTCAGGGCCTGCTGCTCTCCCTCGCTTCATATTTCCTATAGCTTTTTCAACCTCACAGAGGGTTGGAGGACTTACATCAATTTGCCATTCAGGACGACTGGGGATCGTGGGTAATTGAAGTGTGGCTGAAGGCCAGTTGAACTAATCCCTAAAGTGTTCTGCCCATCGATCCAATCTCCTGAATTGAGAATGAATAATATGCCCATCTTTATCTGAGATGGTTTCACTGATACTTGGGTTCCTAATACCGGTTTCTTTAACGAGTCTGAATAGCTGCCTACTGTTACCTATTGCCGCTGCCTTTTCCATCTCTCTTGCTTTCGCTACCCACCACTGTTCACGATCATTACATAGGCTTCTTATAAGCCTGCGCTTAAGTTGACTCCGCTCTTCGTTATGTTCAGAGCCAGGTGGGATGAGTTTACGAGCATCTATCAGTGCGGTAGATGCTGCCGAGATCCATTGTTTCTCCCTAACGTTATGGTTTACCTTACTAGCGGATATCACTGCTGTTTCCACAGCTTTTCGGATGTCATTCCACGCTGCCTCGGGGTGGACACAACTTACATGGCTGCCTAACTGTTTTTCTAGTTGTTCCTGAAATATATTCTTAGCTTGCCTATCATTGAGTAGAACCCTTAGAGGCTTCCCTGCAGTGTCTTTCCTACGACCAGTAAGACGCAGACAGATACGTGCTCGCACTAGAGCATGATCTGAATCTAAACATGTGCCCCGGAATGAGCGACAGTCTTCTATCGAGCCCCTCCATCGGTGGCTGATAGCGATGTGATCTAATTGGGTCCAACGTTGGGACGAATTCGGGGGTCGCCATGTCAAAAGATGTTTTTCCTTATGCTTAAAGTTAGTATTTGCAAGAAATAGGCGGTTATCTGAGCATAGCTGCAACAGACGGTCGCCATTATATGTTCTTTCAGCCATGACACCATAAGATCCACCCAGGTGTCTTTCCCTTTCACTTAGTTTACCTACTTGAGCATTAAAGTCACCTGCTACTATTACTACATCAGAACGCCTAGCTTCTCGGAGAAGGTCAGAAAGTTTCCTGTAGAACTGATCTTTTATATCGTCTGAGCTGCAGTCAGTGGGAGAGTAGGCAGAGACGACGAAGAGGCAACGACGAGTTTCCCTATCTTTCCGGGTCCTTACTGATCCGTTTAGTCGGACAGCGCATAGACGACTGTCTACTGGGATCCAGTCTAAAAGAGCTAGTTCTGCCCTACGACTTAATGCTATACCTACTCCAGCGAGGCCACGGGAAGCAGCATCAGGGCTTCCAGATACACGAAGCGTGTATCGAGATGAAACTTTATTTTGATTGGGTGCAGTCAAATGAATGACACTACTCGAATCTTGTATGCGCGTTTCGGAGACCCAGCACATATCGATGGTGTAAGATTCTAGAGTCCTAGCTAAGGAAGCCTGTTGTCCTATTTGGCACAATGTTCGGACATTAAAAGTTCCTACATGTATTTTACAGCGTGGTTTCAGGAGACCAGGAATAACGTTCTGTGTACTCGAATCGTTTGCCCTAGCGGTGCGAGGTGATAAAAGGACGTGGGAAGAGTTAGTCGTGGAGATAACAGAGTTATTAGGTGTAGGAAGGATTTGAAAGCGACCAACTTGGTCTCGTGTGCAGTTAAGGGTATGAAGGCTAGTATCACTTCCCGGCTGCCCACACCGTGGAAGGGTATTTCTTGAGGGACCTGAAAAAGAAGTTGGATTAATGTTGCTCTTAACGACCTGGGAGCGTGACCGCAGTGCCCAAGGGACAACTGCATGAGGCCGGTCACGCACGGCCTTTTTGTGGGGGATTTTTGACGTGTTAGCTCCGTTCTTCAAAAGTCCTTACCGCCGGAGACGGAAATCCGTGGGATAAGGCGAGGTGTGCATTTTTAGGGTCGACCTTTTCTAACCCCACCCCTCCTTGTGGGAAGGCAGCATCGCTGTCATGCTGGTTGTCTGAAGGAAACACCTTACTGCTTTCACACCTCTGTACAGTCAGCAGTACGACTTCGCCTTCGGACCTTGGGATTGCTGCTTTTAGTCTCACCGCTCTTCAACCGACCTGTCTGGCATGGTAGGACCTTGAGGAACGATTGTTCCAGCCAGCATAGCTCGATTGGATCATCACGATAGGCAAGCCCGACCACCACGTCAAGGTAGCAGCAACGGTCGGGAGCTTGATTGGTAATGATTCATGCCGCAGAGGCTGTTCTGGACTCAACTGGCTCGGCTAGGCACAAGCAGGACCGATAAGTACTTAAGACTGTTCGCACGACTTCCGTGTATCACTGGCCCGATCGACAAATCGCTGCTCTCTAATTGGCGGTCTTATAGCGGTCATACATTAACAGAGCATCCACTCGGCCACAAGTTATAACAGTATGTCACCCTGAAAAATGTTTGGCCTATGAATTACCATTAATATTTCTAATTCTGTCTGCTTTATAACATAATTCTCATTCTAGATTAATGTAAAATATCCAACTTATTGTTATACAAGTTTTTTGAGAGTTTCTCGCTTATTTTTTCTTCAGAATACGTGTGGATTGGTCCTACCCTTAGGCTTTGGCTTTCTTTCTTCCGCAGCTTCTGCACTTATGACACGATCTTACCCTGTACCTGATCTGCTTGATGCCAAACGTATGTGGAGAATGTTCAAGCTCTATAGTACCTCGTTTCGAACCGTTGGCTCGTGTTTGTTTTTGGGTCAGACAATATTTGGAACAGCATTGGTATATGCTATGATCGACAGTAATCAACGTGTGCTCAGGCAGCAGAAGTTCAGTCCTAGTAGTGAAGGATTCATCGCAGACTAAATCGAACTTTAGTGCTTGTTGTAAATTGGTTACACTTAAACTAATATAGACTTACTTTACTGCACTAATCTTCTTAACTCTTAATTATATTTGAAAAAGTTATCGACCTAATTTTATTCAAACTACAGGCAACAAAATGTCAGACGAATACACAAAGGTATTGCATTTCTTTTGCACTGCTCATTTTCTTAATCTCTTTTACACTGAGTACACTTTCTAACATAAGTTAACATTACTCAGACATTTCTTTTGATTAAGAAGACAAGTTTTACAAAAAACATGAGCGACGTTTGAAGATAATTCATCAGAAACTCAATGTGATCGCTTTCAAATTACTGTGTTAACTCCCGGTTGTAACCAGCGCACAATGATGAGCCTGTGTATTTTGAGTAGATTTATTAATTGCATTCACAATTGAACTGAAGTATGTCTGTATTTTGTTGGTCATTGTTGTTTATTTAAAGTTCATCAAGAGTGATATTGTGTTGTGCGCTACTTATGCGGACTGGTATTAGTAGTATATGGTAGGTTTTCGAAGTGAAATGCACACCAGCAGAGGACTGAAATAAGGTGAAGAGGAAGGAAAACAGAGAGCAATCAGAATGACAAAAAATAGGAGGAATGATGGAGTATATGAAGGAAAACTTAAAGAGAATGAGCAATTGATGTATTTAATGTATGACTTTCATATTTTACAAAGGCACTGTGTATTTTTGCATAAAACATTAAGTTGGTTTACCTTATCTGCGTTTTCGTTCACTAAAATATTACCACTTTATTGCATAATGGCTTGCTTCAATAGGGTTTTTACCCCCAGTAATCTTTTAAGGTATACTACGTGTTCATTTGCAGTCAGTCAATCAGAATTCAGTGTAGACCATATCCCCCTAATGTAATAAATATGTTGCACCATTCCGATTAAGTAAATGCTATGTGCATACATCTTTGTCCATTCTTTTCACAGAACTGTTGTTTGACTCGGAATTTAGTCTCACTAATCAACTTTTCTTTGAGAAGTAAATTATTGTATTTCGTATTTTATATGAAGATGGCCCAAAGCTTACTACCTGTACTTGATTACTTAGTCGAACGTCTTGTAAACATCGTAGAAAGGTTAACTGTGTTTTCTGTATCTGGTTTCTACACTGATTCTATTGGTGTTAGACAGTTGTCATATCATTCTTATTGTGGAAATCTTTCGAATTAATGAAGAAAGTTTGCTAATAAGTTACCGTTTCATGATATTTATAAACACCAAAATTATATTGAGTGTATTGAGGCTTTCTATTTGCTGTTATATCGCTGCATAACACTTGAAAAGTTATCTATTTATTCATATGAATTGTAAAAGTGATTGGGACTTTTTTAAAATTAGTTATTTTTCTATTCAAATGGTTTTATTATCTGAATGACATTTATTAAGTCCTCATCTAGAATTTATTTCAGCTATATATATTGATCAAATAGTCATATTCAAACTAGTTTAAGAAGCTGACTCGAAATAAATAAGTGGTGGTTTTATTTCTATTAATTAGGGGGGAAGTTAAATAATACTATATGGTAGTAAATGTGTCATTGAAAATATCGAATGGCAATAAATTCTCTTCCCCCCTCCAAAGTAGTTAAACAACTACACATAGAGCAAACATGAAAACGTCAACATCTAGAGGGAAGTACGGGATACAATGGACAGCTAGGATGCAGCTGGACGATTTAGATTTAGCAGATGATCTGGCTCTTTTATCACACACGTAACAACAAATGCAGAAGACGACCAGTGTAGCAGTAGCCTCAGCAGCAGTAAGTCTCAATATAAACAAAGGGAAAAACAAGATTCTCCTATACAATACAGCATGCACCAATCGAATTACACTTGACGGAGAAGCTTTGGAGGATGTGAAAAATCTTAGATATTTGGGCAGCATCGTCGATGGATCTTATGCAGATGTGAAGACGCTGATCGGCAAAGCAAGAGCAGCATATTTACAACTGAAGAACATCTGGAACTCAAAACAACTGTCAACCAACACCAAGATCAGAATTTTCAACACAAGCGTCAAGACAGTCCTACTGTATGGGTGGAAACTTGGAGAACTACGAAGGCCATCATCCAGAAGATACAGGTGTTTATTAACGGTTGTCTACGCAAAATACTTCGGATCCGTTGGCCAGACACTATCAGCAACAACACGCTGTGGGAGAGAACAAACCAGATTCGAGTGGAAGAAGAAATCAGGAAGAAGCACTGGAAACGGATAGGACACACATTGAGGAAAGCAGCCAACTGCGTCACAAGTCAAGCCCTCACATGGAAACTTGAAGGCTGAATGAAAAGAGGAACACCAAAGAACAGATTACGCCGAGAAATGGGGACAGACATGAGAAAAACAAACAAAAGTTGGATAGAACTAGAAAGGAAGGCCCGTGATAGAGTGGGTAGGAGAATGCTGGTCGGCTGCCTATGTTCTGTTGGAAATAACAGGCGTAAGTAAGTAATATAGAGCAAATATTTTACTTATCTTGGAATTTTCGTCACCCCTGGTAACTTGCTGGTTGATGAATACTCGGAATGGATTTAGAGAGCTAGTTTAGCTTTTGTCATCTTGTGTTACTTACGGGATACAGGAATATCCATCTTTCAACAAAGTGGCGAGTACAACGCAACGATTTGTTCTGTATTACTCCATGATATGGAAACATGGCAACTGAAAATAAAAGGCTGCACGCTTTTGACCATAGGTGACTTCGATGCATTTCTCGCATATCGTGGAATAAGGGCGAACAATACTGTGGTTAGTATTAATTATTACGTTAATATATCAACTCGGTTTTTGACGTCGTAGATTCTCATCGACTGAGGTAGTTTGGACATGTGCTATTTATGCCCAACTGCGACCTACGTTGAAATGCAATGTTAACTGGTGTAGGAGTGAATTGAAAAAAACTGCCAAATCAGGACGTTGAATCACTGGCTGTTGGACGGATCAGTGGTGGTAGGTGGTTGAGATTCTCACAACTACCGGCAATCAGTGGTTGTAGACGTTGGGTGACATGTTTCAGAAACAGGCATGGATGAACTCAGTCTTAAACTCTTACTAATCATTTATGTATACATTCTCCGTTTTTTCACAAACTACATTCTTTGTTTGTTGTTTACTACTATTGTTGGTACTGTAGTGAACGAACTCTCAGGTGGGGACAACCAGTTTATTATTTGATACAAAATTACCGAGCTCTGTGGTAAAATGTGAAACCTATATATTACATTCTTCATTTTTCAATCTTCCATCAAATGTCTTTTACATCCGTCATAGTTTTTCCACTTCCCAGTTCTTTTATGTTTCCTTTTCTGTTTTCATTTCAATCTCCTCAACCTTCTTTTGACAGGCATTCAACTTCAGACTGGTGTTACATGCTACTTATGTCTGTCGATATAAGTAGCATACACCACAGAACTACCAACATTTTGATTTTTTTTTCGTCATTTTCAACTCTGTGTGCTGAATTGGTTCAGAACCCTCAGTAACGCTTTTTGATAGGCTCTATGTTGATAATGACTAACATAAGACAGCATAGTGAAACCACTTAAGAAATGGCTACGCAGTAACTATAATATTTTTTGCTGACAGATTTTCTCAAGTCTGGTTTCACAAGTAGTTTGTCAATCTGATATAATCATGAGCCAAAAAGCGTTCGCTTTCCTTAGTGTGATTTCTGTTTCTATTGATTACCTTTTCTTTACAGATAAATGTGAACATTGGTGGCTGCAAAAATTGCCTGTCCTCTCTTCATCACTTACTTGAAAAGTATGCTGGTACGTTTATACATATTTTTTGATAAATTCGCAAATATAAAGCCTGTTATCCGATAAAAGACAAAGCAATAGCATTGTGGTTGGAGCACATGGCTGTCGACTAGTATGTCCCAAGTTTGAACACCATTACGTATATTTCAGCGTGTCAGTATAATTAGTCGCCACACAATGCGTGGTTCTAAGCTGAATTCATAAACCTGTACTTAGTAAATCTGTTATATTACCCGTTATGGAAAATATTTCCTTGAAGCTTCATTATTTTTTTATTTTCTATAGAATAGGGGAATAGGCATCCTACGTTTCACTGATAAGTACTGTCTAAAATATAGTCATCGTTTGAACTTCTTACTCTCACAATATCAGGGTAAAACAGTATTCATCACTCCGTTTTGAATTAAGCAGTTCCATTCAATGAGTTTTTACGTCGTTAAAGAGTAAGAAATTTCGTCTACAGTTTATTCTCAAGCACAAAATCATTGAAATCAACATGTAATCTTCTGATATAATTTATTTGTAAAGTCCTAATAACTTGAAAAAAAAACGCTATCAGAATACAAAAGGCAACATACTACTATTATGCGATCCATGATTCCCATTTCCACAAGAATCAGAAGCCGTATATAAAATTTGTATGTTGGAGAAATGGTTGTAGAACAGCCGTCAAATCCCTACAGCCTATTCGATGAAGGTGGTAAATTGGTCAGTATTATTATATACTTTCCTGGAGAGCCCCAATAAATACTCAATGTTCGGTCTTCGTCTACCATAAATTTATTTAAGATTACTGAACTTCTGTTCGTGGGAATGCGATTCCCTAACGTATAAAAACCATTCGTAGATGCTCAGGCACCGAAAGATTACGCAAGTCAGGATTTTTCAAACCATGTTGTGTTCGAGATGCACTATAGTAATGATGTCATTTACTTTCGTTCGTGTCAGTTGTTAATCTGTACAGTAGAAACACCAACATAAGTGTGCATTTCTATCTAACCATTTCCAGATATAAAGGAATATACAATTAGTTCTGAGAAGAATCTCATATCAATACACCCAGTTCATGTAAAACGGGTGACCAGTCTTTTAAAATTTGTTGGATTGGATATGAAAGATGTCGATAATCATTTATCCGTTTACAGTAAGGACAGTAAAACTGAGTCAAACGATGACATCTACTTCTTACCGGAGTTAGATGATGACTCACAGGTTGGTAATTCCTTTAATTTTTTTGTCGTTTGCACAATTAGCTTATTGCTATTTTATGTTCTCGCTACATTCACACTAACGAAAACTTACACAGATCGAGGTGTATTAAACCAGCCAAAAGTACTTAATTACGTCTGTTACCCCTGGTGGAGGTGCGTAGGCCGCACACCGGGATACTCTAACCAACTCTATCTTCAGCTCACCTTCCCAGTTGTTTCCTATTGCTGTTGGTTTCTATATGTCTGTTTCCGATTCCCAACGCAATATATTCCTTGGTTTTCCTCTACCCTTCAAGGTTCCACGTTAGGGATTGTCTCGTGATGCAGCCTGATGATTTCCCCAATGCATATCCTACCCACCTCCAGTGTCTTTCCTAATTTCCTCTTCACCTGGAAGCTGACTTGTCCTTTGCCACAGTGGGCTGTTGCTGACGGTATCCGGCAACGGACATTAAGTATCTTGCGTGGACAATCGTTTATAAATTCTTGTACCTTATTGATGTTAGGTGTAGTAGTTCTCCAAGTGAAGCCAAAACTATTTGACGTTCGTATCGAAGATTCTGACTTCGATCTTGGCTGGCAGTTGTTTAGAGTTCCATATGTTTTTCAGTTATAGGTCTGTCCACGACCGATCCCTACGGAATCTGGAATGTTGGTATCGAAGTTGAATGTCTACTGAACCTTTCATCCGGTCCAACAACACTACTGAGAACATGTCCTGGTACTGATAGTAGTGTGATACCTATGTAGTTCTCACACTTGCTTATATCTCTTTTCTTTGGTGCCTTAATGAGGTGTCCTCTCCAGTCTGTCAGCACTTATTCCTCCTCCCAAATCTTCTTGAATGGAAGGTGAAACATGTTTGCAGTTACTTTTATGTCTGATTTGATCGCTTCAGCTGGTATATCGTCGGGTTCTGATGTTTTCCCATTCTTGATTTGTCTGATGGCCATCTTGATTTCTCCGATCGTTGGTGGAGTAACATCTATAGGAGGGTCTCGGTGTGTGCTGCTTCCATTTCCAGTGGGTTCAGTAGAGCTGATCTAGCGAGAAGTGTGTCAATTCATATGTATAAACAGTTCCGTTCAGCTTCAAGAGAATACTTTGTTTATTTCACTGTCTTTTCAGCTTGATGTGAAGTCAACACTAAACACGTGTATAGGTTCCAATGATAGTAGGTTGCCACAATAATCATAACCAATTGACATGGTACTAATAATATTAACCAATAACCAATAAATTAATCACGTAATTTGGGATAAGCATTCAACAGAAATAAAAGTTTTTGTAGAGAATTAATCGATAACTGATTCTACTGCATTCTACTGATAACTGATTCACTGTTGATGTCAAGGTTCAGAAACCTCACTTGTATTTGATGTGACTTTTTAAAAAAAATGACCGCTTGACATTCAACGAATTCATATGCAATCCATATCATTATGAGACAGCACAAACCGTTATTTGTCGTTAAAATTCAGTAGACCGTGGAAATAATTTACTTGATTTGTTTGAATTTTCAAGTATGATAGACAGTTGGTAATTTTATGTCAATAAACTTTTAAGTAATGGATTCGTAATGGGTATTTACTTCTAATAATCACCTCAGTAAATGTCCAGGTATTTTAATTTCCTTAATTATTTCATTTTTTTTATCTCATAAGAAGCAACTAGTTCACATAATGCCTATGTTTCATTTGAAGATATTTCAATTTCATTTTTCATCACAGATCACTTCTATGACATCTAAACGCAAACGGCTTGATAGTCATCATCCTACTATGAAACAAAACGACCACTGCATTATTGCGTCCGAATTAGTAGCAATACTTCCTCATGAAGTTGAATGTTGTCGACCACATTTAGTACCAGGTTGGTGTGTTGCAGTTTACTCAGGACATCATCTTAGTAAAATAAATCAGTATTTACAGTCATCTGTTCCACTCCCTGGGGAACTCAGTCATATTAAACGAATAGACAGTTGCCGATCATATGAAAATAAATCAACTTATGTCTTTTTGCAGATAGCCAAACCAAGGTTCGTGTTGTAAATCTTATCAGCACGTATCAAGTGCCGATTAGTATTTGTTTCTGTTGTAATGTAGTCGGCTTTGGACCCACATTGTTTATCCCAGGCCTAGTGGTATTACGGGTCTCTTCAATAAAAAGTAAATAGAGTAGGTTTCGAACCTTGACTTGATTCTTGGTTTTTTATTGTATAATGAAGGTATGATTTCGGAAATGTTAGTTTTGTTATTTTTAAATAAGCCAATAATGAAGCAGTTAAGGTCCGGTCAGGGGCGAAAATAGTTCTGTTTCTCTCAAAAAGCCCTTATGACCACGCTTCCGTAGCCACTGCATGAGTGTTAGTTAGAGAAGTGAGAGGACGAAAAGCGGACATCTGGTGCTTAAACACGGTTATTTGATAGAGAGCACCCATTCATGGGAGCTGCCAAACCTCCATTTCAAACCTATGGTACACATGGCAGCTACTACCTTGATGGGATCGAACGGCTTATGAACCTATTCTTAATTACCGGCTATCACGGAATTGAATATTCTGACTTTTTTCCACTGACTTGTGGACTAGATTCTTAGGTTAAAGGCTCTATGGGTGGCACACTTGGGGAACGATATATGGTACGACATGAGCTGCGAAACAGTATTGCAGCACTCTCAAGTATGACTTTAGTTGTTGATAATTTCTCTAGAGAACTAACTCTGCAGTTTAGGGCATAATGTTTGTTATTGTCTCATATATTTTCACAGTTGAAATCATGAGGCAATTGAAGCTAGTATGATATATCATATATGGTGTAATGAACCGATAGTTTACTATTGGTACATTTTAGATTATAATGAGGTTTAAAATACTGTAAGTTTATTTCCTTTTGTCCTCATTTGTTGCAGCTATACATGGCTAGATGCCAATGAAACTTTAGATTCTATGGTCCAATTACTTCAATTAAATTCATTCGATCACCAAATTATTAGCACATCCCCAACACCCTGCTGGATACCACTTCGTGCTCCAATAACTCGTAAGCATCAGCTCCTTTACTCATTTTCAAATGAATCACAAGAGAAGAGATTTTCATCGTTCAGAAATTCACTTAATAAACCAATTATTTTAGGTTGGCCATCCACTTTACGGGCCTGTCCCGAACTCGAGGAACTAGTGAACGTTGGACGGACCTTGTCGTTGTCATGTTTTTCAGAATTAGAGCTAAAAAAGTAGGTTGTTTGGTCCTTAGAATTTATATATTCGATATCGATGTATATATGATACCAACGGTGTACTTATGTGCTAAACGGGTTTCATACTATATTGTTATTACTATGTTTAGTGTTGTATGATGATGAGACGATGGAGTTGTACGACTTGTCACTTAGCACCTTTGGTGCCTGGGAAGTTATTCTTACTGATTTAAACTAACGTTGGAAATGCGCAAACAGATCTTGCACAAGAAACAGCAAAACTCAACTTATCAATTCTAGTGGTATATCTAAGGATTTATACGTTTAAAAATGGCCGCCAGTGTTTCTCTTGCCCTAACCTGCGTATGTCAATCGCATTAAGCGTATCAGCTCTCAACGTCCTACAGATGAACAATCCAGATTTTTACAAAATAGGAAGGATTTTCGAGTTATTGCCCTCTAGTTCTGTATTATTTTCAACTATATGGAATCGTTGTTTTACGAAAGCAATTAGACTTATATCAAGCTCTACAAACGCCTTATACTGTACTTCGCTCAGTCATAGATTAGTAAAACTTAAAAATGTGTAGAAGTTACCTTGCATACTTAGAATGTTGTACAATAAAAAGAAGAGGGAATTTTTAAATGGAAACTTGATGCCTAACTCAGTATGCAACTTATGCTGAGATTTGAGTAAAACGTTAAGCGCTTACTTCGGCTTTGGGAAACAAGCTATGTTAATATTCTCAGTACTGTGTTCGTTTTAGCAATATTTACCGTATCGATTTCTTTAGTTCCGTTACGGCATAAAATTTTAGTGGTGTAGAGTAGACCAAAGACTTTTTTTAAGGAATTGTCTTCTACTGGTTGGTTTTCACTTTATGTTATATCGAATACAAATACTTGTGTTATCTTTTTCAGACATTCATTATGGCTCGAACGTGTTTCCACCTTGTCGAAACAAGCACAAGAACTAAAAAATATACATCCACAATCATGTGCAGGCGTTGGTGGTCCGGCTTGTGCAGTTATCATAGTCGATCCAGAATCGAATATTGCATTAACAGAATCAACTACACCTACGACAACATCAGATATATCTTGGTTAGATCATGCAGCATTACTTGCTGTGTCAGCTGTTGCTAAATTAAAAAGGAATACAGGAAATCAGTACTCTGATTCTTACTTGTGTACAGGTTTCGATGCATACTTTTCACTTGAACCATGTCTAATGTGTGGTATGGCTCTGCTTCATAATCGCATTCGGCGAGTTTTTTGCTGCCAAAAGCTTGCGGGCGACGGTGCATTTACCAATGCAAGTCGTCTTCACGTTCAGGAACAATTAAATCATCGTTTCCGAGTATTTAGTCCGCCATAGATGTCTACGGGATTTGCTTTATAACAACATATCGATAATAAATGAAAAATAAACTACACCTTATTGTCTTTTTATCAGGAAAATAATTACATATCATATGTTCTGTGGTGTTGATAATGACCGTACATATATTCCACTTCATTAATTGTAGACTTTTTTTTACTGTATTCGCTCGAGTGCATTCAGCCTATAACTGTGTTTTAGCTTATTATAAATGACGATAACAACCAGAGATTTGTACCATATTTGTGATACTTTAGCATTTCTGAAACTAACCATGTTAACTAACTGAACCTTGAAAATATGAAACTACCTTTCGGTAAACATACATTGTGCGACGACTTTAAATGTGCGTATCATTAAGAATGGATACCAAAGTCGTGTTCATTCTTTTGCAAACAGTTCGTCAAACGTTGTGGAGTAATTTTGATCTTTGTTGTAACACATCTTATGTCTGACTTTTGGGGGTTAACTGCTACTAGGACGTTCACTTCAACTAAAAGTAGCAGTCATGAATAACAAAGACTCAGTTAAACTAGTGTTCAGGATACACCTCTCTTCCTTCGAAGTGGTGGCTAGTCTGTCAATAATGAGTAAACTAATTTAGTCACGTTACTTAAATAACGTGACTCGTGCAAGAGTCTTTGTCGTTGGTATGCTTTTAGAAATAACACTTTCATCATATAAATCTCCAGAAGTTGAACTTTGACCGAGAGACTCACTTGTTGCCTTAGAATACGTCGATAACATAGTTCTATTTGGTGAAGACGCTGACAGAGTGCGGAGTGTTCTGACCATTATAAGCAACAATGCAGGCATCTTCAGATACGATTCTCCCCCTCGAAATGCAAAATCTTACTCCAGGATTGGATTGTATCAGCACCTGAACTAGTGATAGGAAGTGAAGTAGTTGAGCGTGTTGACCGCTTCACTTATCTTGGGAGTCTCATCAGCCTCTTCAGTGTGGCGTGTGATGAAATCTCAGCAGTCAGTCAGCTACAACGTAGGACCAGGCGCATATATGCATCGGTCCAAGTTGCCATATCTCGTTAGCACAGCAAGATCAACACCGGATTCATAGAAGTAGTTAATTTAGTGGTAGTAGTATATAAAAGATAGGTTGTATATAAGGACATAGTATAGGAAGGAAGAACGTTATGAAACAATTTTAATCTTAAGGTTTAAGGGAAGATAAAGAGTGTATACACCTACGCCATTGTGATCGATTCTGAGCCATGTCACCTAGAGTCTCCAACCATTGGTTACGATAGCTACGCGCACCCCAACCAGGTAGTCTGCATCTACCAACATGGCTCAGACTAGAAGTTAGTGACTTCGAGCACTGATGGTTTGGCCGACCCTATCTCTTTTCCAACCATTCCCTACACTAGTCAGTATAGCGCGTCGTGGTAATCGGTGTTCAGTCATACGTAACACGTGGCTTAACCATCTCAGTCGATGAAGATTCATCACCTCATCAACTGATTTACCATTATTCCCTAATATCCTGCATCGAACCTCACTATTACTTACCAAGTGATCCCAGCAGATGCGAGCAATATTCTTAAGGCATCTGTGGTCAAATACTAGTAACTTACGAGTATCTTCTACTCTTAATGGCCAACTCAGCACGGATACAGAAGGCTCGTCTAGCTTTCGCCAACTTGCATCATTTATGGCGTAGGCGAGATATCCGTTTAGCAACCAATGGACGGGTTTACTGTGCAGCAGTTTGCTTCATCCTACTTTATGGAAGTGAAACATGGCCGGTAAGAGTAGAGGATATTCGTAGGCTACTAGTATTCGATCATAGGTGTCTTCGAAGCATTGCTCGTATATCCTGGGACCACCGGGTAAGTAATGCAGTTGTTAGGAAGTGTGTATTAGATAAGGATGGCAAATCGATTGATGAAGTAGCGAAGCTTCATCAGTTGAGATGGCTGGGACAGATGTTACGTATGCCCAACCGACGAGCGATGTTTTATTGTGTAAAAGTAGGTTAGAAGAAAGCTACGGGCGGCCAGACCAAAACGTGGCACAAATCCACCCACAAGTGGACTGAGCCATGTTGGTAGTCCGTTCCATCCTACTTTATGGAAGTGAAACATGGCCGACAAGAGTAGAGGATATTCGTAGGCTACTAGTATTCGATCATAGGTGTCTTCGACGCATTGCTCGTATATCCTGGGACCACCGGGTAAGTAATGCTGATGTTAGGAAACGGGTACTAGGTAAAGATGGCAAATCGATTGATTAAGTAGTGAAACGTCACCAGTTGAGATGGCTGGGACAGGTGTTACGTATGCCCAACCACCGACGTGCAATGCTTTATGGTGTAGGAGCAGGTTGGAGGCGGCCAGACCAAAACATGGCACAAATCCATGAAGTCACTGACAAGTGGACTGAACCATGTTGGTAGGTGTAGACTACCTGGTTGGGATTCGCGAGATGATAGCAACCGATGGTTAGAGACCTTGAATGACATGGCTCAAAATCGTTTGCCATGGCGAAAATGCATCCACTTTTTATGTTCTACCAAATTCTAATCTGAATTATTCATGTCTGTATCCTTTTTTTGTCTTTCCAAATTTATTTCATTGTATTACACTCTTTTAATAACATCTTCAAACCCTAATCCTTCCGATTACTGCTTATACTCTTACTACTTATACCATTATGGGATTTGAATCGACAACTTTATCTCTGTGCTAATGTGGTATGGCAACTCGAACTGATGTACGTACGTACGAAGTTCTACGCTTTAACTGACTGACTGTTGGTAGGTTGGGATCCGCGAGATGATAGCAGTCGATGGTTAGAGACCTTGAGTGACATGGCTCAAAATCGTTTGCCATGGCGAAGGTGCACCCACTCTTTGTGTTCTACCAAATTCTAACCTTATGAATTCTTTATGTTCCTTTCTTTTTTCTCTTTTCAAATTTCTTGAATAGCATCTTCAAACCCTGATCGTTCCGATTATTGCTTAAACTCTTACTACATCTACCACTGTGGGATTAGAGTCAACATTTGCATCTCTGTGCTAATGTGGTATGGCAACTAGAACTGATGTACGTACGCACGAAGTTGGACGTTGTGACTGACTGACATGTTACTTAACTAAGTGATCCGTAGTAATGTGCGAAACATATTTACAGGTTCGTGGACTAGTGAACAGTTTAAACATTTATGAACAAAACGTAGGCTAAGTTTATGCAATCGATTCTGTGTCACCTAACTCTCTGAAACAAAGCGCGTGAACGTTAGTCTTAACTCGTAAACAGCCCATGGAATCAAAGCGTATACACCGCTAAACTATTGACATCCACACGGCAACAAATGAGTCTGCAAACTTAAGTTACGCTGCCTTGCGCAAATATAATCGTCAAGACACTTCTCCGAATTGAGGATGTAATTATTCACACTATATGAAAGACGTAACTAGCCTTACGCTTTGTATTTTTAACCAACGTACCATTGAAATCTCGAGTTTATAAATGTTCCCATGCGATATTATTCAGCAACATATAACGCCATGAATACCTGTTGGCTTACGAGGTCCTCATTAAGGATCAAATGGCTTTTCAGTTTAGACGTTGGCTGTCAAAGTTTAATAGTTTAGACCTCTGAAATAAGTTAATGAATGTATTTTGTATACTGTTAATACATGAAGAGTTGGTGCATAATGGCATAGAGAATAGAAAGCCACTTTATAATTCTGCACATATTCGCGTTAGATACAACGGACACGAAACTTGCTTACTTAACTACGTAATCCATAGTGAATTATCATTGACCAACGAAGTAATCACTAGAAAATAAGCAGAATCGCTGAAGTGTTTATTACATGACCATTCAAGTATTATGATGTTTAATCTCGAAATGTTTAAACAAAATATTTTATTTACATGCACAAACCAAGCAAACGCCATTACTGCTCAGTCTTAACTTTTTTTGGTGCTCTGAAGAAAGACAATTACATGTAAAGTAGTAACTTACCGATACTGAGCAGTTACCATAGCGTGACCACGTTCGAATGGTTCAAGAGTAACCTGTTCGCGTGGGGTAAATTGTAGTTTTCGTAGTGTATCGACTTCCTTTGCAAACACAACCTCAGGAGCAGCAACTGAGTCAATACATGAAGCTTTGATGGATATAACGGCGTGACCTCCGTTTTTTAAGTAGTATTCGGCGTTGACCCCTACTATTCTAGACTGATCAGGTTGAGCGACATCAGCAAATATACAGTCCACCATACCTAAGACATATTAAAATTTAATTTGTGCATACCAACAAGCATCCTGTATTTGTGAGGATGTCTTGCATCTTCTATTATTGGGACCACATTTGTTCGATGCTTAGCCACATTCAGAAGATCACGTCCCGAACGATGCGAGAATTCTACAGCATAAACTACGCCATCTGCACCGACCACATCAGAAACATGGGAGACAGTAGTTCCGCTAGCTGCTCCCAAATACAAAACACGACTCCCTGGCTTGATATGGATTTGATCAAGCCCGTTGACTATGCCTGCTGCCAATTTCGATCGGAAGGGATTCCACACTCTGTATTCAATTTTACCACCCGCATCATCCTCAACACTGATTCGCTTCTCACCATACACAGACTCACCGACGACAACATTCTTCGTTACCAAGCAGTCTTCTTTGCCTTTGGCAACAAAAATACCTTCATGTCTATGGGGTTCTATCAGTACTTTTTTTCCTCCTCTCATTCCTCCACGTCCACCCCTCCCACGTGGTGTTCCTCTGTTGAACCCCCCACGACCTCGACCACCAAAGTCGCCTCGTCCTCTACCACGTCCACCGAAATCACCTCCACGGCCACCTCTAAACCCGCCTCTCTCGCTAAAACGCCCACCTCTGCCTCCACCTCGGCTGTCATCACCAACGCTTTTCTCACCACCAAAACTATGCCTCTGACCACCTCTACCGCGTCCGCCCCTAAAACCTCCGCCTGATTCTTTATTTTTAGAGTGA